TCATTAAGTACTGTGCTAAATAATTTTGAGAGAAAAATCACCACTTACTGCTACAAATGAAAATTATTTCACAAAAATAAGATATTATAATTTATTCCAATAAAAAGAGTAAATATTAAAACTAAGGAAGCCATAAAGGGACATATAAGAAATAAAATTATAAAGAAAACGCATAATTAATCCCAGATCACCGATCATTAATTGAAGATAACACATTTGGAATGGGGGAACACGGATCCCAAATCACGGATTAATTTTATTTATTTATGTGCCCCTTTATGGCTTCCGTACTCAGTGGTGGATTTACCGGGGGGGGGGGGGCACAGGGGGCACGTGCCCCTCAGTCCAGGTCACCATAAAATTATCCAACATAATTTAATTGTGACTGAATTTGCTTATCTAGAGCAGAAATTAATCACAGCTTGATTTGACTTCTTAAACTGGCCGTTAATTAACCCCATCTTCAACATGCGTGATTTATGACAACTTATCGGTGGGTGTGTAAATATTGACACCTGTGTGTAATGTCTCTTTGCAAAGCTTTTATGCAAACTACATGTAGATGTTAATTGGAATAGTACGAATATTTGTATTGTTTTTTTAATACAATATTACAGATTAAGATTGATTAACAGGTTAAATCTTCTGATTAGGAAAGAAATTACTAACTAAAATCTGTGTTTTTAAAAAATAGGTACAAATAGATGTTTAGTGTCAACAGAGACATATAATACAATATTATATGTCTCTGGTGTCAAGAATGTTGGTATCGATATATGGGATATGTCTTCATAACACAATACTCGCATTACCATTTCTTGTGAATGTATTTTTTTCTCGAAACTGTCTTTTATGTGATGTTCTTCAACAATTTGTTTTTCAATATCCTACAATATCTTTTAAACTGAATGTCGAATTGCTTTTCCTTCTTCTCCTTTTATGAACCAACAATTTGTTTTAAAAACGCCTTGCCCTACCACCTTTTTTCACGAAAAATGAATTGGCATTGTCTATTATATATATAAGCATCAATAAAATGCTATAGTATTTTAATAAGACCTACTGTATAGCATGATATGAGACTAATACATTCATCTATTAGTCCAAGCATACAGTAAATTGATATATGAATATTTTTTTGTTTCAGTTACCATGTATGAGGCTATGAATGGGTCACCATTTATGAGGATATGAATGGGGTTTACAGATAAGAGCATAATGGGCAAAAAAGTTAGATTAGGAGTAGGACCAAAAACTATAGATAACAGAATAAAGAGATGATGAAATATAAAGAATAGATTGTTGGTTGCTTAATGTCCAGTGGGAAATATTTCATGCATGTTTATGCATGACGAATATAATAGAGATCAAAGAATAAAGAATAGAGTGAAATGGTAAAAAATTAAAATCGATTACATACTTTGAACTATGTACACATTTTATATAATTCTATCATGATACTTAGATGAAATTTATTTTGAAGCAGAGGTATTTAAACATTAGGAAGGAGAAAATACCACCTAGAACTACTTTCCAAGTACGTAACTCTCCTTAAATTGATATATTACTTTTATTAGTTTTAGCTAATTGAATGTCTAAAAGATGCTATAGTCAGATTTCGTTATTTTGACTGGATCTCACGGCAGTTTGTAAGAATAGCCATTTCAAATACTCCTATGCAACTAAAATATATATAGTCAAATTACCTTAAAGTTATGAATTTCATATTAAAAGGCGATTATTTCTTTCTGCTTTTTTTTTTTTTCTAAACATTTACAGTTTAGTTTATATTTACCTCACACAATGAAGTAGTGTTTGCTGTAAAGAGGTGCATTAGCTCTGCCAGTATGGAATAATGTATTATAGTTGTAAATCTAATTTTAGAGTTTATTGAACTGTAAATAAACAAATTTTAAGAATAAATTCTTTCTAAACGATTACATGACTTTTAGTCATACTAACAACTATGTTACTTATACAAATCCTACCTTTTCATCGTACTGTTGTTTCATCTAATGCCTTAACCACAATATGTTAGAATTTACCAAGTTGTAAGAAAATTTCAGAAATTTCTTCCCATTCAAACTTATCTATAAATGAACTGCCTATAAATGAATTGCCTAGTAAATAGAAAGTGGTGCTTTAATTTTCAACAGTGTATGTAACGTAGGTAAAAAATGGAATGGTTGCATTAATACATTTAATATCATAGATCAGTGATCTCGAAAAAAAGTATTTAAGAAATATGATAAGATCTAAATATAAGTGGATTGAAAAAGGGAACAATCTACAAAAGTCCTCTTTTATTTAGAAAAATAAAACCTAAACAAACGAGCAAAGAAAATTATGGAAAAATCCTTTCACGTATTTCATTGATTCCATTTAAAATGAATAGCTCAAATTTAGGTCATTTCAGTTTACTGAGGGAAAACGTTACTTATATCTATTACATTGAATAACCTGGTTAGTTTTTGTATCTGCTTATTCATATTTTTCGTATTGAATAAACTTGATAATTTTTGTTGAATATGTAGCTTGTACTATTATGTACGATTATTCAAATTTTAAAAGAAATTATATGGTTATCTCTATTGCAGTTAGCTTGTTTTGCTCGTATTAACTCTTGATATTTTTTTTATTCATTTTACATCAAATATACATAAAGCAAAGGTAAAATTCGCAGCCGAGGCAATACCTTTATTTATAACACTTTTCTTAAATGATTCCTAAGGGTTGATAAGTTGATAATTAAAACTAAGGTTCTAACTCGGTACTGAAAGTTGACCTAAGATGGATTAAGTATTTATTTAAATGTTTTTGTGTAAGTGTTCAAGCATCTATACATCTATGAATTTCAATTGATTAGTACAAATGAACGAAAGTTGATGGTGAAGGTTAATCCAGAAAAGGGCACCATATTCATTAAGGTTATTTTGATTTCTGACACTGGGAAGATTTCTATGCTGTTGGACTTCAAGTACCCGAGAAGTAAAGTTAGTGTTATGGGCTTTGGCACCGACATGATTACATATCTTTTCTGAACTTCATTGTGCTAAATCAAACAATTATTAAGAAACTTATGTTCCTATTTACCTAAGCAAAATTGACATCGGGTGTATGTAGCTTTTCTTTATTACATGTAGGTCCCCTTTGGCAATAAAGCTCTTTAAACGTTGTAGTATTCATACGTCAATTCCTGTCATAGTATTGGGTTTTCATACAATTTGAAGCGTTTCATATTTTTCTAATTGATTCCTCGTTTACTAATGTTTAGTATGATAATAAAATTACATTATTGTTTAAGTACGAGTTTCCGTTTTGAAGAACACTGTCATTATGGATTTACCGGAACTTATTTTGAAAATATGAATCAAAACCTTTATAGGTCGGGTTGTTGTCTCTTTGACATATTCCCCATTTCCATTTCCAATTTTCTTTGTAAACAAAGCTTTATTAATTACACCAATAAAAAATGAAACCCAGAGCATTCTAAAGAGAGAACAGAAATTGTAATATAAAAAAAATCTTTTGCATGGTATTTTAATTGGTCTATACAGGACGTATTTCAACATAATTTTCATGTTTGTTCTAGCATATGTTTTTTAAAGACAAATGTAACTGAAACATTTGCAGAGTGGTGTATATCTTTCCATATATTGTAGAAATGGATTAATGGTACTATCCTAGAGTGTTGTTGGAAATGGCAATCACAATTTTAGGTTAAATACTGAAAAACATTCACGGAAATACTTGTCGACCCCTTAAGCCTTTTTTGCTACATTGTTAAAGCAAATATATTTGATAAATTCTTTAAAATACAATAAATTGTTCATGAAAACAAAAAATAAACAAACAAAAACTTTCTTTTTAAATAATTACAATATTACAATAATATGTGTATATTCAAACAACATAACCCTGAAAAATAAAGAGTCAATGTCACATAATTAATTCCCAATTCACTCAAACTCTCTTTATTCATCCCGTGCAAGTATTAAAATGTAAATATATACGAATTACCAAAGTTCCATACTTAACTATAAACAATGCATGTGTATGGAATCGTAGGCAAGTATCAAAATTTCGTGAGTAGATTGTCTTTCCCTGAAAAATATACACAATACATGTATTAATAGACTGGTACGCACGTTCAATAGTGCAATTACAATTTTCCAAGTTCTGTTTGGTTTCCTATCGTAGACAAATGTAAATCATTATATGAACCGTATAAGAATGATGTTTTTGACGTTCCAATCCGACAATGAAACCGTTTTTTTTTTTAATTTTTAACTAGCTTCTCTTTAGTTTCCTCTCTTTTGTCATCTGACGTTCTTTTCATTAACTGAACATGCTTAGCACATGCTCTCTCTCTCTCTCTCTCTCTCTCTCTCTCTCTCTCTCTCTCTCTCTCTCTCTCTCTCTGTGCCTCACGATCTCGAACGAACGAACAAATTAAAGGGAAAATGTATCAGAATATTTTGAGTTATTGTATTTTTGTTTAATTTACGTATACCCGATATCTCATTTTATGTATGCACAAATTTTACCAACGTAAAAGCGTCTATAAAACTGTAAAACTAACAATAACAAATTGGTTGATGTATTTAACCTCTTTGAATAACCTATATAAATATAATTGGTTCAAGGTAATACAATGTACTGTGTTAGGTTTTGAACTAAAGGAGTTTGATAGGATTCACTATTCTCAATAGTTATATATCTGTGTTGTTTTTAGGACTGCTCTTTGTCAGCTAGATTTTGTTGTCGTCAAACACATGTATTGGTCTGTTTTTGTTCGAGTAATGGTGTTTGATTGTCTCGTTGCTATCTTCTCATGGCAACCGTATTTATAATAGTAAACAAATAATTTTTTTTTTACGTGACGTGTGGTGCTTTTGAACAATAAAGACATCCTGTTCTCCTTAATTGATTAAATACCATCAACTGATATTATTTCAAAGTACCAATCCATATTAGTTACAATGAGTTTGTTTCCGAACAATTATGTTTTGTGATTAAATTTGTATGTGTATTGGAACGAAAGACAAACTTTTAACATCAACCATGTTTCTAAAATGTATGATGCTCTGCATAATCTACAGTGTTTACGGTAAGCATTGATCAGATGTGACGTTTATTGAATGAATACATGTGCAAATAAAGCATAAGTTGTACTGAATTTATTGGAGTTTTCCAAAAACAAACTAGTTTTACTAGACTGCTAACATTGACTTTAACTTTGGGAATAGCTAATTGGTATACTACAAGTACGTAAATATGTCTGTCCTCTGAACTTATAATTGCAAAGTTGAAAAAAAACCATAAAGGTTTGACAGATACGAGACCTACTAAACGTCAATACACAATGAATCTATGAAGGACATAAGCCTGACTTTTGGTCGACCTGAAAATGTTGTTTTTTTTTGGTTTTCAATATCGACTATCCATCTCGTTTAATGGAAGTTACTCAATGGTTTGAAACAAGTATTCATAGTGCATGCACATTATATTTAGTCATTCTCGTTAATAGTTTAGTTAGGTCCATGTGTTGTGTATAAGTTAATCAAACAATATTAAAAGATAAAAAAAAAATAAACAACGATTCCAAGGTGTTTCACAGATTGGTTTTTCTGTGTTTATTTTTTATACTTTTTTGTAAACCCGCTTTACACACAGGATTATAATTGTTTCCCTATTATTCTATCCTCAATGATTGATCTCTATGTAATGACTTCTTAGTACATTGATACTTTGATTCTTTTGCTTTTGTTTTTTTCTGGGTTTTTTTCTGAATCAATTCATATTAAGAAAATTTTTTGTTAAATTCTCTTATACAACTTATTCAAATATCGGTGTTTAAATGTTACATTTGTTATATCGATGATAAATTTTAATATCAAATATCAGTGAAAGTCAATGGTGTTATACCATCGGTTGAAGTTTATTTTATTCAGACTAAACAACATTTGTGTCAGGCTTCTTTCAATGTCCATTGTGTTAGTATTGCATGAGTTCGAATCCCAATGATTGAAGAAAAAAAAAATGGCTTCCGCAAGATGGCAGATTTAACATTGTTGTGCTAATATTTAGGGTAATTATGAATAAGATATGTGTTTTCAGCCATGTAGCACATTCACTGGTGATCCAATGGATTACTGTACGACAGATTAATCCATTGGATCACCAGTGAAGGTGATACACGGCTGAAAACACATATTATATTCATAATTACTCTAAATATCAGCACAACAATGTTAAATCTAAAAATTTGCGGAAGCAAATTTTTGTTCTTCCCTCGTTAGAATTCGAATTCATGCTAATAGACCTCTTCAACAAATTTCAACACCGACTAATGACACCTACAGTCTACAGGTAAAATGAAGGGGTTGTCTCAAAATTAAAAATCATTCATAAATAGTATGACGTTACGTTTACACCTTCGATTTATCGTTTTATACTATTTGGACGAAGAAACATATTTCAACCAAATATAACTTATATCTCTCTCTTTTGTATAACATTCAAATTACATGTATTTATTTCATTTTACGCTGAGTTTATTAAACCTTCCAGTAAATAATTACAGCAATCAATTAACATCGTTATCTGCCTTTTTTTTAGCTCACCTGGCCCAAAAGGGCCAAATGAGCTTTTCTCATCACTTGGCGTCCGTTGTCGTTGTCGTCGCCTTCCGTCGTCTTCCGTCGTCCGTCATCTTCCGTCGTCCTCCGTCGTCGTCGTCGTCGTCGATGTCGTCCGTTTACTTTTACAAAAATCTTCTCTGAAACTACTGGGCCAAATACAACCAAACTTGGCCTAAATCATCCTTAGGGAATTAAGTTTAAAAAATGTATCCGATGACCCCGGGCATCAACCAAGATGGCCTCCATGGCTAAAAATCAGGTCAATTTCTATCTTCCCTGAAATTTTCAGATGCATCAGAAAACCCATTGTTGGGTTGCTGTCCCTGAATTGATAATTTGAAGGAAATTTTGCAGTTTTTGGTTATTATCTTGAATATTATAATATATAAAGATAACCTGTAAACAGCAAAATTGTTCAGAAAAATAAGATCTACAAATAAGTCAACATGACCAAAATTTTCAATTGACTCCATAAGGAGTTATTGCCCTTTAAAGTAAATTTTTCGTAAATTTTTGTTATCTTTTATCAACCAAGATGGCCACCATGGCTACAAATAAAACATGGGGGTAAAATGCAGTTTTTGGCTTATATCTCTGAAACTAAAGCATTTAGAGCAAATCTGACATGGGGTAAAACTGTTGATCAGGTCAAAATCTATCTTCCATAAAATTTAAGATGCATCAGACAACCAGTTGTAGGATTGCTATCCCTGAATTGGTAATTTTGAGTAAATTGTAGTTTTTAGTTTTTATCTTAAATATTATTTTAGATAGAGATAAACTGTAAACAGCAATAATGTTCAGCAATGTCTGATCTACAAATAAGTCAATATAACCAAAATTGACAATTGACCCCTTAAGGAGTAATTGCCCTTTATAGTAAATTTTTCTTAAATATTTGTAATCTTTTACAAAAATCTTTCCACTTCATCTACTGGGCAAATTAGAATTAAACTTAGCCACAATTATCAATAAGGTATCTTGTTTGAAAAATGTATCCGATGACCCTGTCATCCAACCAAGATGGCCACCATGGCTTAAAATAGAACATACGGGTTTACTATAGAAGTCAAAGAGAAAATTGTATAAAAAAACAATTTCAAATGGTCACAACTTGATAACTGATTTAAATAATGATAAGGGGTCTTCAGTAACTATTATAAGACTACAATGGGATTACCTGCTTTAAATTTAACTACTGGGCAAAATAAACCAAACTTGGCCTCAATCATTATTAGGGTATCTAATACTATTAATTATGATTTAACCTTATTTTACATTACTTCCAAACCAACTGTCGATACAGGTGAGCGACTTCAGAGCCTCTAGTTCTTAAATTTGATGATTATGTGAGTTTTTAGACAGGCGAGTTTGTCAATGCAGATTGAATAACATGCCAATAGTGATTAATTTGTTTTTGTAATGATATTTATGAAATTTGCAGAAGAAACATTGTAATAGTACTTCTGTCCGTCAGCAATACTTTGTGTTTCTTAACCGATCTTCGCGTCACTTGTTGTACACATTCAATTGTGGGAGGGGTCAAATGATATTGATTCAAAAGTCAAAGGAAAAGGCCTCATCGATTATATCGTAACGAGGGACTACTCTGCTGTAAGATACCATGTTAAAGTGCACATGTTACCTTAATGAACTGGAAACATTAACGGCACCATTTGTTTCTGTGCCACATGCGTATTTTGACAATTAATGTCTCTTCAGTGATGCATATGGTATAAATATCCCAACAGAGCTTGTTGTCATTACAGTATCGTTTTGGACTGTGCCGAACTGATTGGTTGTTATAGGTAATCCCTTACCCCAAAAGGCAACATACCTTATCCATTTGTCGTATATTCCTTTGCCTGTTCTCGAAAATGACCTTCGTGTGTCTTGCAAGAAGCTAGAACTGCTTACCATTCCTCTTTTTAGGACATAGCTTTGGTTTTCTACTATTTTTTTTTCATGCATAATGGTCTTTAAATTTCATCTCTGACCATACAAAGGGGAGGTTTTAGATCAAATCAATTTATAAAAGTAAAACCCCGCTGCATGTTTTATGCGTCTGAAACAATTGCTGAACAAGTTGGGCATTGTAATTAGTAAGTTTTGTTAGAATAGAGTTTTAAGTTTACAATTTGTTATTTTGACATTATACTTCGCTCTCATATTTATTTACTTTTTATCCGATCAAAAAAAGTAGCTTTATTTCCCTTTTTTTCTTCTTTGTTTTGGATTGGGGATTGGGGATCTTTAACCGACATGCAGACCATGTGGAACACTGAAAGTCTGTTTTATATGTTACATTGTGTGATTTTTTTTCCTACTTCCGAAGTCATCAAAATAGCAGGAAAACAATAAAGCTTACGATTTGAATCTGAATCTGAATCAGAAGAGACACTAATGGTCTTTAAAAACTTGGTATCTATTTCGTTATGAATTTATTGTACTCCAACTGATTTTCGCGAATTAGATTAATTCGTTGCCGCTATTTTGTTTTAAGTTTGTTTTGGTCATACACAATTTGGTCGAAGCAATTCACCAGCTTCTTCCAATCTCTGGTCAGATACGGCATCTTGTTTTCAGGGAGCAGGTATAGCGACGGCACAGTAAACCGGATAATTTAAAGAGAAATAGTCGAAATCTAAGTTGTCATACTTTGAACGACAAAATTATTTTATATCTACCTGTGTAACGTCAAACGCGCGATTCTTCGTCAGTACTTAAAACCTTCCATCCTTTATGGGTGGATTTTACATACTAGATAAATAAAGTCGTATAAAAAAAAAGCAAAATGAGGATGTTAAATTTGATGAATGCCTTTTTGTGCTTCTTTGTTACATTTGTTTGTTTTTATAGTGATTAAGATGATAACACAATGTTGACTGCTGTACCCCTTTTTTTGACATTTTTACCTATTGTGTCTGTTTGTTTTGTTCACGCATCGTTGTCAATATAATGGAATTTGATGCGACTGTCATACAAGTGAGAGGTTTAGCTAGCTATAAAACCAGGTTCAATCCACCATTTTCTACATAAGAAAGTGCCTGTACCAAGTCAGGAATATGACAGTTGTTATCCATTCGTTTGATGTGTTTGAGCTTTTGATTGTGCCATTTGATAAGGGACTTTCCTTTTTGAATTTTCCTCGGAGTTCAGTATTTTTGTGATTTTACTTTTTGCATTGTCGTTGTATATCGATTACAGGTTGAACATCAAATTGGTGAATTAAAAAAAAATAAAGTAGTGAGTATCATTATGGTATCCGAAGAGAAAAATTAACAGACATTGTAGTTACATGTACTCCCTAGTCAACACACATAAAACATTGAATAATTTAATATCTGCTATAAAAATACAGGTTTGTCTTTTGTATTCGTTTTTTTTTAATTTCAAACTCGACGTCTTAAAGAAATGATACATAGAAGTCCTCTCTTTTCTTTAAAGTCAATTCACAAATAAGTTTAATTTTGATAAGCAAATATTTAATAAACAAAATAAAGTATGGTACACAAAAATTGCTTTTATATACGTCATGTTGGATAATTGTCTCATTGGCACTTGAAACTAATCATATGCTATCATTAATATTTTTCAATTTTATTTTTGAGACGACCCCTCATATTTCACCTGTCGTAATCGTTCTCAACTGTAGGTGTAGACAATTGTTGAAAAAGGTTTATTAGTCAATTTACTGTTTTTTTTTAGATTCTGTCTCCATTACGGTTATTGAGGTTGTTTTTTGTTATTTGGAGTCTTTGTATGAAAAAGTCCAGGAAATTGAATTAGAAATATTCTTCGCAAAATGTATCGTTTGTTCCATATTTTTCTTGTTCTATACGTAACTTATTTAATCTTTTTTTAAAATAACCTACATTTGTGTAATAACTATTGTTACAATATTTAGCCCAGAAATCGAGGCAAACAGAGTGCAAGTACAGAATGAATGGACTTTTTGCATATCATTATTATTGTGAGATAATGAAAGCGTGTTGCCTCATCGATAGTAAATGGAAATGCATAGAAACAATTGGTGAATATGACATGTATGACGCTTGGTACATTTCACACAGATGCAAATTTCATGAAAGGTTCGTTTAATGCTATTATTAACATCTTAATTTTATAATTAGCTCCTTCTTTCATCTCCATCGAAAGAACGTTTTATTTTTTTCTTCGTATTATTTCTTTCGTCTTCGTCTGTCACTTAGTTTTAGTTTGATGTATTTTCAATTAGATATTTTGTTTGCGTTTCCAAATGTTTACTGCACTTTCATAACCGACTGTTTAATCGATAACTTTTGTGTAAAGGTTAATCCTTAATGTGTATGTCACTCAAGTCAGCAGTATGTCATTCATTGTCTATACTTACTGTCTGCCTTTTTTATTTTCATTTATTGTTTTATGAATTGATTAGGCCGTTTGTGTTCTCTTTTGAATTGTTTTACATCTACGAATACGCATGCCTTTTATATCTTACTCTATGGTTTTATCACTATTGAAGGCAGTAAGGTGACCTTTGGTTTGTTGCTCATTCGTTCGTTGGTTTTTGGATCGATGTATAATTAGAAATGACTAGGATATTGACGAACAAACGTACGAAATCGTAACTTTACGAATCGTACGAAACACGAGCTGCTGTTTTATACATAGTAATGTATAAATCTAACATAAATACGCTGGTTGAAGTAAAGTAATTCGCATCGTCTGCATGTAGTTTAAAAAGGTATTACCTGCATGTATATGTATCTTACTACTCACATTAATAATTCAACATTATTGTTTTCTACATTGTACAATAGCATCTGAAATTATTTTATTTTTTTCAAGTCCCCACTTTGAGAAGGAAAAACAATCAACAGACATAAACATTTCAACCCCACCCCCACCCAAAACACGTTTCAATACATTTATTATTTACAACAAAACCTGGTCATCTCTATTATGAGGGCCTCAGGAAAGATTTAGTTGTATAGATAATCATGCTAATTTACTGTGTAATCCCATTTAAAAAAAAATATTATTATCTGTATGATTATTATTAATATCATTGTTATTATCAATAATATTGACATTCATACTAATTTCCTCCTTTTTAAAATATACATAGATAGGCAAAATAAAGACAAAAATGAACAAATCTGATTAGATTTGGAGCAGAACGTTTAGCATAGTATTTTTTAAAAGCAATCTATAGTTCACAATCGTCCAGAAACACACCATTTAAATCATCATTATGAATGACTATCAAAGTCGACGTGGTGTCCAAATGTAAGTGTTACGTAATTTATGCTACATGAACTAGCGTTCGTTTTTATTTTTTGCTTTATTGATGACAATACGCCGGTATATTGAAAGATATTGTAGACGAAGCTGCAATATCTGATTTCGCTCTTCCTTTTAATAAAAGTTATGTTAGTATTGTCAATGGCTTATAAGTGTTCGTATTCATTACACATTTCCATCGAGGACATCAGGACCAAAGATAATATGTTTACTTATTTTGGAAACTGGGATATTTGAAATCATCTACTTCAATGGAAACACACAGGACTACAAGTTATTGCAAAACATGATTAGTTAATCCACTTATATAAGCGAACATTAAATTCATGCTTAGAAATGTGACAACGTAACGGCATCATAATTGTATTTGAAGGTCCACATCTAATAACAAGACCATGACAGCACGAGCCAAGAAGAAGACAGATACTACACCAGCTTACATAAAGACAACTCACAACCGAAGACAAAGACAAAGAACTAGAAACAGGAGCAGGATGAACATTCGTCGTAATTTTCACAAAACCATTGGGTAAATATATTAGCAAAAAGTAGAATCACAAAAATACTGAACTCCGAGGAAAATTCAAAACGGAAAGTCCCTAATCAAATGGCAAAATCAAAAGCTCAAACATATCAAACGAATGGATAACAACTTTCATATTCCTGACTTGGTACAGGCATTTTCTTATGTAGAAAATGGTGGATTAAACCTGGTTTGAAAGCTAGCTAAACCTCTCACTTGTATGACAGTCGCATACAATTCCATTATATTGATAACGATGTGTGAACAAAACAAACAGACATAATAGGTAAAAATGTCAAAACCGGGGTAACTAAACCAGCTGTTGAATTTATAACAGGAACATATTATATCCAAAAACGGCAGTGATAGAAAAGATCATGGCCTTTTATAATAAACAGAAGTTTCGTCACCAAAAGCATATATTTTGATTATGGATATGTAGTTAATAATTGACAAGAAACTTTTTTAATACACTTTTAGTTACAACTGGATTTCGTCCTTTTAACTAAATGTTTATTTAGACAGTATAATACTTTAAAATGTAGCCTTGAGGATGTGAAATCACTGTAGGACTCAGTTTTTTTAGACCCTGGTTAAAAATGCAGATTTCAGTAGAATTTCAAATCGTTTTTTTAATTGACACGCAAATAACGTGGAGGACAGGAAATAAAATAACTATGCCGTATGAAACATCAAATTCAATTATAAATTGTTTACTTCCTCACTAGACCTTTTATATATGCAATACCATAATTAGAACGAAACATGTTGATGCGATATCAATATTTACCCAGTATGAAATAAAAACTGACACTATGTGTCGCAATTTGAACGGGGTAGTTTACAAAGAAGTTTTTAAACGGAGACATGTACTTATACCTAGTCAAATCAGATGTAACATCAAGTACTTAATTGCTTACTAACAATACTTACCCTCAATAATAAAAGTGACAAATAATTCATAAATGTGTTGGAATTTTAAAGAATGATTTAAGTTTTCGACAACCAGAGTGTTAAACATCGAAGGAACTTAAAACGTGTCACCTGGTATTGCACAATCAGACAACAATTGATACGTGTGTAAAAGAGTGGCATAAGATACCAAAGGGACATTCATAAGTTAAAAATAAACTGACAACGACATGGCTGAAAAAGAATAAGACATACAGACAAACATCAGCATATAAAACACAACATAGAAAACCAAAGACTGAGCAACACTAACCATACAAAACACTGCGGGTATTCTCGTGTGCTCTGGAAGGGTAAGCAGGTCTTGACCCACATGCTGTACCCGTCGTTTTGCTCATATTAGACATAACATGTCACTGCACATAAGAAAATAACAAACACTGGAAGTTAATAAATAAAATGTTCACCTTTTTTTTCTGTGAACAAGCTTTAGTAATCATGTAACCTTAAATTTCCAAAATATTCTACAGACACACCGAGTAAAAAAAAATAATAGTGCTTTGAATCACCCAAGAGTTTTGAATCAGAATTTTTTAACTGCATTTAAATGTAGGATTAATTTCCTACAACTGTCAGATTCAAAGGAATGTTGATTGTTTTACCCTTTTTCGAATGCAACAGAATGTGAGGTACTATGATTTGGTGGTATTACACATAAAGAAGACTTTTTTGTGTTATAAACTTAATGTGATGTTTTTCCTTTGTAAAACTTGTTATTTCAAGCATTACTGTCAAGTTATGTTATACTCAGTTCAATAGTTTGAGAAAAATGTAGTATAATTTAAGACGACTACTACAGCGATTCTAACAAAATTTCTTCGAAAAATCTAAATCAAGCCGCATCATGATAGAAAATAGTGTGGACCAATAAATGATCAAATATTTATCTCATCTGCCTACATACAATTGAGTAGGATACAAAAGATGACTTTAGGATGATAAATACCACTAATGGACTTCTTTGATTTCATTATAAGGTCCCGTTTGGTCTATTCATACCTCTCACTCCTCAAAATTTCATCTTTTTAGGTCAATAAATAAACATTTTAGGCTAACGTTTTACTTGATTATGAAAAAAATGTGATGATGAATAAGAAATTGAGGTATTTAAGCTAAATGAACTATCCATATAAAATTTTACTAAATCCATGACGGTTTCAATAAGTCCTTACGTAAAACTTAAATTTTTAGAATTTATTACCACAAGAATAGATTACCGAAGCTGTTTTTGAAAACACAGTTCGGATGTGTTTGTCGTCAACGCTCTTCAAATTCGTATTTTTTTTGCGTCTTTTTAACAGTGACAATAAAGGTGAAACTTACACATTACGTAATCATTTGATCTTCTGGCCAGAATATATAGTGAGAGCTTTTGCTACTGAAGGCCTCATCATGACTTTGAGATGAACAACAGCAATACAAGTAGTAATTCTTTGCTTTTGGTTTGAGTTAAAGTTGGTGTAGTTATTTTGTGTCATGAATAGAAACAACATAATTATATTTTCTCTTGAATTATACTAGTCTGTCGTTATAAACATCGGTTTTTAAAAACAAACCGTCATATAACTATTTCATATGTGGCTTTAGGTCTTTGGTCACTACACAGCTAAAAGCATGTTTTTTGGCTAAATACATTTCCGTCATTTATAAGGAAATTGAACATAAGTTTGTTCGGCTTTTTAATCTTATTTCAGAAAATACTATATAGTTACTTACATCGATATTTGATAAAAATGTTAAACAAGATGTCACTTGCAAAAGCCAAAAAACATTTGTAAAATGTCATATGATATATTTTAGAATAAATACACAGTCTAGGGGATTTTCAAGATATATAAGAAGCACAACGGGATACAGACATACAGAATACACACCTTCTCCAGAGGAGAATCTTTTCCGAATTCTTCCGGCGTAAGAAAGTGTATACTAACTTTAATACGTGTAAATGAATTATCTATTTAATAAAAATCTTAATTAAGTAAAAACATGCATATTTCATTTTCAAGTTACGTACATATCGATTTGAAATAAAACAACCCAATATAGTAAATACAAGTTAAAACATTTCAATCACCACTATTTCATACTCTATTCGATTTGATCTTTAACACATTGTGGCACTAGTCTATTGTAGGCCATCTATTTTTATCTCAAGGTATTATGATGTTTGTGTTGTGAGTTACTGTATCATAGACGTAATTCCCACTTCCTCATTTCATATGAAACAACTGAGTTGATCAATCAATAAAAAATGTGTGTGTGAGATTTATCATTATACGAACATGGTGCATTAGAATAAAATATTCCAAGTCCAGGTCGTTGAAGTCGACGTGGTGTTCAATATCAATTCTACGTTCTTTTTGTTACATTAACTAGTGTTCACTTTTATTTGTTGCTTTAAAGTATGACAATGCGCCCATCACACGGTACCTAAGTTGAGAACAACTTTCCGATCAGATGTTTATAGTGAATGAAAAATGGACATTTATTCACTAGCTTTTTGTAATACAAAAATCATTTGATATACGAATTTTATTGATAAAATAGACAATGCATAAAGGAAGAAAAGACAATTCATATGGCTGTGATGATTTTACATACCTTAGTTACTTTATATATGTATAAACAACCTAGCAATCATTTTTTTCGCAAAACCAGATTGTACTCAAAAAGTTGAATTATTAACCAATTTCATTGATGAACTGTTTTAAGTAAAAGAACATTTATCATTTGATTGATTACTTAGCTATTTCATTTGGGGTTCCTTCTTTCGATAGCCATTGATATCTGGGTTGTTCTCTTAGAGAGATTTATGTAGGCTGATATACATAAAAGCTATAAACCCCGTAGTACAATGTATTCAGAAATACAATTAAGATAAACATATGAAATGTTTTTGTGGCTAAAATTACTATCTCATTCAATTTAGAGCAATTGTAGTGGCAATGATAATCTTCTTCTGTGTATGTTGCTGTGTATACGACGATATGAAACAACATAAGATGAGACTAAAAAATAGAATACGTATACAACAATCAAGGGCCTTACAACTGACAAATGAACAACAACATTATCGCGTTATAGGTAAGAATTAAAAAATCAACATGCAACAACATCTCCCGAAGAAAACAATACAAAAACACTTTACTCCAAGATAAATAGTTTTTCTTCTTACACTGAATGTGTTGAAACCTCCGAAAATAAACCGATACAATAAGACATTCAAATATCAAAAGTAAAATAAAAGGCCAAACAAGACCGTTATTGAAATAACCAAAATTCAAAATATTGAATATTATTAAGAAGACATTACATCAGAAGAACAAACAATCGGGATACTAAATAATCTATGTGCTTCGAATTCATTAGGGTAAATCTTTTGAATAAAATATGCATATTTGTGAACCCTTAAAAATACAATGTTGATAGGTTATTATTCAAATAATTAACGGAATAACTCAATGTAATAGTACAGAAAAGTTAAGATGAGTAACAATTACAATTCTTACACCAGGTTTGTACTATGACAATGGAAATGCTGCTGCCTGTGTTGCTTATCCAAGGATGCAGCTGGAGTATGGAGCCGATTTGGAAATGCTCATCAATTCTACACCAGACTGTACAGCATCTCTTTCCACAGATAATCCACCAGCATATGAAGATATGATCAATGGAAATACAACCGCTATTGATACATATAATCCAAGGACACACGCAGGAGACGTTGAGGAAAGAAACACCCATCATATACCAAATAACAGTACAATAACTGATTTACTTGACGATACAAAATATTTACCTACTGTTAGTCCACCAGCATACGAGGATATCATGAAAGGAAATGCAGCCGAAATTGTTTCATATAATCCAAGAACACGCACACAAGACAAAGAGGAAAGGCTTGCCAATTATATAGCAAAAAAACGGTACTGAAACTAATTTGTAAGACGATCCAACATCGACACCTACGTGCACAATAAATCCCCAGCATACGAAGATTATATGTATAGACATAACAAGTGCACTTTTATATCTTTGCATTTGGATATAATTTGTCACCTAGTTCTGTGAGCCTTTACTTGAATAAAGTTACCTTTGGACTAAAAAACTTTTTTATTTTCTCTTTTATTGTAGCATAATCATGGTAATCAAAACATAAACACTGTGTATGCTGCCACTATGAATAGTATTGCCATAAAAAAAAACATCTTCTATATATTCAATATCTATATCGACTTTATCGTGCAGATTTGCTGATTTAATTAGAATTCACCCCTAATTCTGTTTTTGTTGAAAGTTAATTATTCGGTATTTCTTGATGAGAAGAAGGAATCGGCGTTATGTTTATTTTGATAACTTAACATTCAGTTGGCTGGCAAATTCTAAAATATAAGATGCCTTTTTCAGGATAGCAAAGATTGTTTCTATAATGAATTTCTTTTTATTTGCACATGAACCTAATAGTTAGTTATACACATGAACATAATAGTTAGTTATACACATTTCATGCACAATAATTATAATAAATAAACAGAAGATATACAACATATTAAATAGACACATCTGAAATAGTTTGGTACATTGAAGAATATGATTGCAAGACAAAGGCTGCTTGGATATAGAATACAAACAATAAATATGATATTTGTTGTTTATAGATACAAGAAGATGTGGTTCGAGTGCCAATGAGACAAGTCAAAATTTATAAAAGTAAACCATTATAGGTCAAAGTACATCTTTGTGTTCATGACAATAAAGGAGTCCAGGGTTAACAAAGTCGATCTCAGATGAATTCGGCTGTTCTTTTATATGACAGATCCATCTATTTGATCACCAGTGAAAGTGATACACGGATGAAAACAAATATTATATTCATAATTACTCTAATTACCAATTCCATCTTCATGTCTAATATACCATGTACTGTGTTACAACTTACAACTGATTCTACTGACGAAGAAAGGTAACACTAGGCAACCGAAAGCTGCAATTTTAGTTCATTTGCTTCCAATTTTCGGGTTTGAACGTTTTAGATGACGGTTAATCAAAACAAGTACGTCTTACGAATCGAATGTATTATGTGGTATTTTTATTGTCTAACATTTGGTTAACACCGCTGCTGGAAGACTTTTAGGGAATCATGAGTTCAGCAGTCCTTGCGTCAATACTGAAATGATTATTTGCAATACTACATTTAATATTTTTCTAGTAAAAAAATCAGAAAATTAGAACTCCCTTCAGCAGAACTGACAGAAGATTATTTAACAAGACGTGTTTAATCCATTTTAGTCATATAGTTTCTCACGTGTTCATGTTTTTATTCATCCTTGGCTTTTACATATTTGGGTTTGAACGTTCCTGATAGTAATAAATCCAAAACAAACCCATCAGATGTCATATTAAATTTATAAAGTGTTATTTTCATTTTACAATATGGATACAATATTTTTCGTTCAGTTCATACATTTATGCAGGACGATTTAAAAATCATACAATAAATCAATTAAGGGAGCTACCATTGTATTTATTTGAGGGGTTAGGATGAAATTTCAAATCAAAAAGGCAGGACAGGAGTTTTGAGTAAAAAAAAGGCAGGATGAGCAACTTGGCAAAAAAAAAGGCAGGATGACAATTTATGTAAACAAAAGTCAGGATAAACTAATAAAAACAGGACAAATTGTTTTAACCTAGCCCCCCATAATAATCAAATTTAGCTCCCTAAGTATAATTTCCGTGTGGACTTGCTCGATAGGGACGATATAACTGCAGAAATGGAATGGTTGAGAGAGTAGGAAAAGAATAATAGTGCTACATTATAAAAAGGAGTAATATTCATATGGACTCACTTGGTATGTGCAAAGAGAGCAGTTCTCTCTATATTCATTCATAACGATTTCATTTATTATAACTAGGACAGCTTCGATAAACAGGCCCCTGTCCTCTACTGATCAAAATTATTCAGTTGTTATCATACATATACGGTCTCTGTAGAAACGGCCTGTTTCTTTGCTAGCCTTTCTCAAAATACAATATAATTTCTCAAGAAAAATACAAATTTTGAAATCTCTCTTATTTTTTCTCCTTTACATAAGACATCAAATAATAAATATGTATTATTATTTGGAATAAAATTTAAATATATATTGTCCATCAAGAATATTTCATCGAATGTAATGTATGTTAAAGACGCAACAACAATCCTAAATTTCATTAATTGTTTAAAATGGCGTTTACAGAATGGTTTACACTATGTTGAAAAATCTTCAACCTATATCAGAAAATGAACCTAATGCTTTAAAATTTAAGGCAATAACTTAATGCCTATGTCTTAGCTGATTGCCTAGGATTTCAGCTTAATATAATGCCTTATTTCACTTATTGTCGCTAACAAATATAAGGTACATATAATTTACCTAAAACATTGTATGTACATACAACCTATAATGGTTTTTCTTTTACAAATTGTGACTTAGGTGGAGAGTTGTTTCATTGACACTCATACCACATCTTCTTATATCTATAAAATAAGGCCAAAATCAAAAGGGGAATACTATTTGAAAAGATTTGAAAAAGGCACGCGAACTATTATATAATAAACATATAAATTTATATTTAAACATGGGATGGGTTTCCTTTTTAATTTTAAATTAATGTTATCATGAACGATTTTATTAAAGGTCTTACAACATATCGGTTTATTGCACAAGCACAATAAAATTGAAATTTTAGGTCAAAAACAGAAAAAAAAAACATTTTTATGTATTTTTGTATGAGGACTGGAAAACTTTGAGGGACGATGTTTACTTACTGTTTTGAATTCGGGGTCGGTCAAGTCATAAAGCATTATTTTGTTTTAATTTCTATCGATAAGATTGGTAAACTATTGAGATAGAGTAATGTAAGGGGATATTCGGTTATCTGCTTGAGTCCGAAAAAGTTCTAGCCCTTGTTTTTCTTTTATCTACTTTTTGAATATAATCATCATTTTAAGGTTTGTTTTCAAATATCTTTCTTTTATTATTTTCATCTGATATAGCGAATATCGAATAACAAATAAGGAACCAGTTGCTAAATTCCCAAACATCGTACATTTTGATCAACAGTTGCATATGAGGTACACAAGATTTATACAATACATTGTTTACACACACACACACACACACACACTAAATAAGAACAACGACAAAAGAATAATACTATTAAAACAGATTTTAAAAAGGCACGCGAAATGCTATAAATAAACACATTGTCTTTTATCTAAACAGTGTTCGGGTTTTCCGTTTTAACTATTGATAAAACATCATGAAATAAACGGAGGGCAATATTGTTTCAGCAATTGTTTTTCTTTACATTTGTTATTTGATTTTACCATCATCTGGTAAGTGAGACTTACATATAACTGTTGTTGTGTACGCAACAAACATCATTGTATTTATGTATGTATAAGGTTCCTATATGCACCACGATTAAATGTTGATGGAACCTTTATTGCAACCGTAATATAATGCATTTTATGCTAATCTTGGTTTTGCTTTGTGTAAAGAATTTGGTTGCAACATTTTTTGTACCCATACCCGACCATTCCTTCGATTGGGATGGATAGAAAAGGCATTGGTGTATGACCCATCTACATGGAATATTTTCACTAAAATAGTTAATCTTTATCAGTATTAATTTGGATTCAAAAACAATGTCTGTTCTAACGCGCTAGTTTAACTAGATATTGTTTTGTGAAAAGCTTGATAATATTTTGCGTTATTTTATTTCAGTAATGGTTCATAAAATGTATTTGAAAGAATTAAATTGTAAGGAGATAACGTAAAATAAATTGTCCTTGCAAAAAAATTACATTCAGTTCTTGTATGCTTTAATGACATTCCTTTATAATATTCATAATAACTAAAAACTTTTTCCTCCTCGCTCAAAATATTTTTGAATCAATTATTCTAAACTGAAATCTATCAATTGTTTTTTGTTTTCATTCAATTTTTATATCTTGATTTATGTTAGTATTTTTTCTTAATATTATGCATTTTTGCTAATAGTATTCATAATACTGTTTTGATACATATTGTTACAAGACTGGTTTTGAATATAAGCAAACAGGTATATTAAATTTATTAAACTTAATTTTGTATAAAGTATAAAAAAATAATGTTAAAAGATCTACTATTGATGTGGCAGGTACAAGGTTTCAATCGGTATTATTCGGATCTGCATGTCAGTGTCAAGCAAAAATAACATTATTTTTTACATACTTGTATGAAGGGGTAATATTTAATGTACTAAGTAGCTGCTATTAGAAGCAAAAAATTTAAAAAGCTATTGCCGCGGAATTTGAAAACTCTGTGTGGCTCAACTATGTCTAATCAACAATGGACTCCTTCATATATTGTAGACAAAAATATATAGAGTTCATGACAACTTTTTATTTTTGTTGATCTTGTATTTTGTCTGTTAGCTTTTTCTTTATCTTCTTTAGTTTCGGGATGTATAAGTACCGAGAATGAATTTGACGCGATCTTTTTATTTGTTGAACAATGCTGACAAATACAGCAAAACCTTCTGGAATTAAAGATTTATTACATAACAGTATAAAATATGCAACCAACTCCTCATTTAAATAATTATTCTTTAGAAATGAATATTTAACTTAAAATATTTTTAAAACTAAAAGGCAAAAACGGCCCAAGATTCTATACTGTATCATTTTGAAGGAGATCATTTGAAAATACAAATAGAACAATGGTATAGTTGATACAGCAATTTTGATCTCGTACGATGATTTTTATGGTATATTGATTAAATTTGATATCCAAAACACCATGTTTCCTGACAGAAGTTAATTTAAGGTTGAGGAAATCACGAGACGCCAAAGTCAGATTTAAACATTACAACACTTAATGACGTTCAAGGCACATGCACATTTGGAGAGGTCTATATTGAGACCTACATTTTCTCAAATTGTGCTGTCCAGCTTCCTAGAAGAAAATACTACAGATAAGAAATCAAATCATTACAAAAAAAAACCAGTTAATTCTATAAAACGGTAGGCCGTGTTGACAAAATACACAAACAATGCAACAATAATCAGT